GCATGTATTAAAACATCACAAGGTACACTCCATGAATATGTATAATTTATGTTTTCTTCTATTAGTTGAAAAATAAATATGTAGAAATATAAATAAATCTAAGTGGGCTAACACACGTACAAATACAACCTATAGTTTTTGTCCAGCTAGAAATATTTGACAACTGGGAAAACTTTTCACATTGGCTCTCTGACACATAGGGTAAGAGTCATTATTCTAGGGAAGGCCAAATGAAAGCCCCCACAACTTGCCCTTCCTGCCAGGAGAACAAACCAAAAGCAATAACATATCCCCGAGGGAAGTGCAGAGATTAGTACCACCATCAAAGACTTTAGAATGATTATGAATTATCATAAATTTAATCAGGTTGCTACACCAATTGCAGCTGCTATTCCAGATGTACTTGCTATCTTTAATGAAGCAAAGCAATACAGCTTCTGAAATCTTATATACAAATACAAGTTGGCAAACACTTTTGTATCTAAACTAATTTGAAGTACTATCAGAAGACAGTTCCCTGGCGTGATCAACAATATATTCTATGATCATAATATGGCTATTTTGCTCTCGATCCTCATTTCATCCACAGTGATCTTTTAAATATTTATAACATATTATACTATACATTATGTATAACATTAAAATATATCATATTACATTATATATATTACAATACATATTATTATGTATTACATATGATGTTTATTTTACTGTGACATGCAACAGTACAAATGTTAAATGTGTAATTTTATTAATTTTTCCAAAAGTGATAGGCCATCATCCAAATTACAGTTATAGAAACACAAAAATAGAGGGACTAAGAGTGGTATAGCTGAAACTAAAGCCCAGACAGTATATTTCAGAACCCCTTTGCTTAAGAGGATCTACTACACTAGTATATAGGATAACAGAGATATTTTCTTTGTTTGCATGTGAATTCATTTGTCAATGGCAGGTATCTCAGTTGTTTACATCTCTTAACTATTATGAATAATATTGCTTAGAAGTTTCATATACAAATTTCTATGTGGACACCGATTTTTATTTCTCTTTGTTAGTGATGAATCGTTTGGTAAAATAGAATATTTTGAGGAACTACCTGCTTGGCAAAGTAACTGTACCAATTTACAATATCAACACTAATTTCAGAGTTTCCAGTTCACATTCTCCCACTATCATTTATTACTTTTAAATCTTTGTTTCAGAAACTGGTCTCTTTTAACAATTTGTGATAGATTATACAAATAAGTCAAAGATAAGTGCCTTAAAAGGGAGTATGAACTTTTAAATCTAATTAGAACAGCAAAAATAATTGTAAACCTCTAAATGCTTATGGTGCTAAGTTCTATTCTAAATATTTTATATATTTAATCCTCATAAAAGTCTTGTGAAGCCAATTTCTATTTCACTGATGAAGAACCTGAGGCATAGATAAAAATTGATGTGCTCAAGGTCACAGTTAGTGAGCAGATTTCAACTCAAGAAAACTAGCTCAAGGATCTGTTCTCTTACCTACTGTGCATAAATAAGTTTATATCACTCACTGTAAGCCATTGACTGTTCACAAGAATTTATATTTCTAGAGTACAGACTACCTTTGTTATTCTAGCTGTTGATAAGAACTTGTTGAAGATTACTTAACATAAAACCATAGTATTTTTTAAACCATGAGTAGCTTCTCAGATGAAAATCCCTATTTGTATATCTAACCAAATTCAACAATATAAATTGCAAAAACATACAAGTTTCTTTAAGCCATGATAAACTAATGTTAATATATCTTATATTTTCCGAAAGGATAATGAAGAGTAAAAAGGAGGGCTGGAGGCATGTCTCAGGTAATAGAGCACTTGCATAGCAAGAGCAAGGCCATCCCAGCATAGTTAGGGGAAAAGCAGTGAAAACCAAGAAGTTGAGGTTTTAACTGCCATCAACAGGGTGTTCAATACAGATTTTTCTATTTGTACTAAATTTCAAGGTACCAGAAACTACTACCAAATTATTATAATAGCTGAAATTCAAAGCCTTCCCCCCAAAATGAAGCTTTATAAAACAACAAAAAAAAAATGCTACAGACATTTAAATCTTCATAGAAACACTTGGAAGACCAACTAAGAGAAGAAATTAGCTGTTCCATGGAATTTTAGTGTCTTGGCTCCACTCCACTAGTACATACTACATTTGTTTTCTCTTTTGGAGCAGTCTTGTGGCAGGCTTAGGCAGACCTCCCAGTCAGGATGCTCCTGCCCTGCCTGAGCTGAGATTATGCGATGCCATCAGATCAGTAATGCTGGGATTGCTACAATTCGTGGCTACTCTTTTTCAAACCATTACAGACATATTTGTAATGACACTCTCCCAATATACTGAATTACTATGAAGTCTGTTATCTAAGTTCTTAATTGAAAGCTCTTTATATAAATAAACATTATAGGAACTAATGGAACAATGTTTTAACGTAACAGTTACCATATATCATCTCATACTACATATTGCATTTTGAATACTGACACCCATGTTAAATAAACCATATACTTATATTGATATAAATTACATATGCCTATCTGGAAACCACCTTAACCTTCATGGGTTCCAAAATGTGTACAATAAAAAATATTTTTTGAAGATATATGAAGGAAAATATACTTTAAAATGTATTAAGAATAAAAGCACTGAATTACATTTTGCATATTTAATTACTATGAGCAACTTTAATATTGAATATTTATGGGGTATTTTTTGTGGAACTAGTAGTTGAACTCAAGACCTTATATGTGCTAGGCGGGTGCTCTACCACATAAGGCACATCACCAGTTCTCATGTGGCTTTTATTAAGTAATTGTAAGATCTATGACCTATGAAATACAAAACTAAAAGCTGAGTGCCAGTGGCTCACTCTTATAATCCTAGCTACTTGGGAGGTTGAGATCTAAGAATTAAGAGTTGGAGCCAGGTAGGGCAGACATATTCACAAGACACGTATCTCCAAATGTCAGAAAAGCTGGAAGTGGAGGCATGGCTCAAGTGATAGAGTGCTAGCCTTGAGCAGAAACACTGAGCAAGGGGGTGAGGATGTAGCTCAGTAGAGGATTTAGCCCTGACTTCAGTCCTCAGTTCTGAAAAACAAAACAAAAAAGCTGGTGGCTCATGCCTGTAATCCTAGCTACTAAGGAGGCTGAGATCTGAGGATCGTGGTTCAAAGCCAGCTCGGGCAGGAAAGTCTGTGAAACTCTTATCTCCAATAAACTCTCAGAAAACGAGAAGTGGTGCTGTAGCTCAAGCGGTAGAGTGCTCGCCTTGAGCTCATGAGCTGAGGGACAACGCTCAGGTCCAGAGTTCAAGCCCCATTACCAACAAAAAAAGAAAATCAAAATTAAGTAATAGCTTAAGGCCCTGAGTTCAAACCCCAATACTGATGATGATAATAATAATAATAATGCAAAACTAAAACAATGGTTCCATCTGAATTAATTCTTCAGCTTCTACTACTTTCAAAATGAAGTTGTGTGGCTCAAATGGTAGAGCTCTGGCCTTGAGCAAAAAAAGCCACAAGCTTTCTGATGTATAGAACTCAATTAACTGGCAACCCAAAATATCTGCATACCATACATTTAGAGAAAAAATACACTCGAATTTATTATACATCAATATTGATATTTACTCAACATTTACAGAAACTACCCACAAAACCACTCATTCTTACAAGTACATTCCACATAGTCTTGTTTGTTTAGTTTTGTTTTTTATTTAACTGTACTTTTTTTTGTCTTTTCTTTTTTAGTACTGGGGACTAAACCCATGAAGGTGTAGCACTTGCTAGGCAAGCGCTTTGCCACTGAGCCTCATCCTAGCCCCACATAGTCTTATAAATAGTCTAAAATTACCTATCCCTGGATTAAAATGAGACCAAGAGATCTAAATATCTACTGAGGGGCCCCATAAAAATTTTCTCAAACAATTTTTTGCCATCAATTCCAATAGTAAATCAGGTCACAAACATTTAAGGGTGTAAAATATCAAATATCTTATATTTTAAAAACTAGCATTAACATGCTTTAAATCCTTTTCTTTACCTAAGTTCCAGCACACTGTACAATATCCTTTCTTTGAAAATTTACATTTTCAAAATACTTTTCTCTTCTGTGGACTTTGCAACTGATAACATATCCTTTCTTAGAGTATCTACAAAAAGTATACCTATGTTTTAGCTTTGACAGATAAAATGAACTTTTTGCTATAGCTACATGTACTTTCTCCTTATAAATTCTTTGAGGAAGCAATGCTTATTTTGTTATATCACATTTATTTAGGTATGTCTTAAAAGTTTGTGGAACAAAGTAAAATAAAGCAAGAGTTTGGAGATAAAGTGAATACATTCACACTAAAGCATTTACTATTTTAAAATAGCAATCAATAAAATCACAAAATAATAATCATGAGAAAATTAACACCCTGAACATTCTGAAAAATCCTAATGAAAGTTAACAAATAGTGTTTGCTATGAGATATCCTCAAAACTAAATATTTATTTTAAATACATTTAATTAACTTACATTTATAATTCTTTTAGTAACATCTACTTTCACTTGCACAAGTCAAAAATGTTCATTTTTAATTTGTAATAGCTATTTAAAGTAAAAAAAAATCTTAAAGACTAAACTTGATTAGCTGTTAAAGGATGCTTGTAAAATGGTAGTTGTTCTAATCAAAGGAATGAATACAATGTGAAAGTGAGATACATATATGTGTATATAAAATATTTTACTTGTCTTTTAAGTATTATAAAATAATTTTAAATTATACAGAGTCTTCTTTCATGTAAAATTGTAGGGGCGAGTATGTGTGGTAACACATACCTATAATCCCAACACTGGGAGGTTGAAACAGGTTGATCACAAGTCCAAGTCCAGATTGGGTTACAAGTAAGATCTTTCGCATACTCCCCCAAACTAGTCATAATAACAATAAAAATTATTTGGGTTTGGGAAGTGGATACTTACCCTTCTCCTCCCATTCTTGTTATCTTTAGGCGAAAATCCACAGAATTGAGACTGGGGGGCTTCCATTTCAAAATGTCATCACATCGACCAGGTTTGTATTTCTAAAGGGAATTCAAACATAATAATTAGAAATAATCTCAAGATTGAAGACTAAGTTATTAAACATATTATTCATTAATAAGTAAAATGTACTCCATTTCCAAAAATAATTTTGTTATCTTCCAACAAGTGGCACTCCTTTTCCTATCAAAGACACAGACTTGTTTAAAATACTGAAACTGTAAAATATTCCACTTGGCAATCATAATTGAAAAGAATTTGATGAAATTTTTAATCATTCTCCTAACAAAGCATATTTAATAGGAATATCCCAGCCTCCCAGAGGCTCATTATGGTACTGAGGAGTCAAAACAATAGAGTGTCCACAGGAAGCACAAGCTGAAATATTATAAATAAATATGGCCACCCCAACTCTACCCATTTACACTCAATACCAAGGGATTTTCACACTTACAGACAAAATCAGTATTTACCCACTCTATTTTCAAGCTGAGTAACCCCTCTAAAAATAAAAGAACTGAAGTAAATAAATCATTTTTTCATGATCTCCAAAATAATATGGGCAAACACATTACATAATATAGATTTAAGCCTTTTAAAAATAAGATTTCATTATCTGAAATAATCTTGTCAAACTAGAAACATGGTAACAGAAACATCAGAAATCAATATAAATATCAGGCAACCAAGTATTATGTTAGCAAAGTACTTACTAAATCATAGGGACCTGGCTGAATGGCCATATACCAAGGAAGTCTCTAAAATTAAAGCAGGCAGAAAACTAACTTAAGGTGTGATATATTCTTGAGTAAAGCAGTGGTTCTCAACTAACAGTGATTTTTGCCCCCAGAAGATATTTGGCCATGGCTGGAGATATTTTGGTAATCATTGAGAAAGGGAAGGGCATGCTACTGCCATCTAGTGGATAGAGGCCAAGAGTGCTACTAAATATCCACAACTTTAAAAAAAAAAAAAAAGTTCAAAATGTCGAATGTTAGCCATACACAGTAGTAGCACTTAAATTGCACTTAAGCACTTCTGGGACTGAGGCAGGAAGATCCTAAGTTCAAGATCAACCTGGGCTATGTAACAAGTTCCAATTTAGTCTCTGGTCTACATAGTGAGACGCACAGCAAGAGGAGGGAGGGAAGGAAGGGATGGGGAGGGCAGGGGAGATGTGAGGAAAGGAGAGGAAAGGAAGGGAGAGGCAGGATCAATTGTGTAAGGGTTGAGATATCTTCATGTAAATGAAGCTAGGGGTAGGGACAGCAAAGGTGAGATATTTTTAGTCCTTTTCCTCTACTAACTTAATATCAATCAAGTTCAAAGTGGAGCTTCATCATTTATAAAACTATAGTAAGTAGCATTTTACATGTGTCAAACAGGACATCTAGACCATAGGTATTAAAATGCCTTGCAGCTGTACAATATCATTTTCACATGGTGACATGTGAAATAAGCAGTTAGTTATATTCTTGGAACATATATTCCAAGCATACACTAAGAGCTGACACACAGTACATTCTTCATGTGTTCATGCTAAGATCCCTATCCTCATTTTAATACCATTTTTACTTCTATTATTCTAGCATTTCAATTCCAAGAAACCAATAAAATCCCAAATGATAATCCTGCTAGCAGAAGTAAAATAATGGAATCTTTTCTTTTTTTTCTTTTTTTGGTAGTATTGAGGTTTGAACTCAGGGTCTTAGCTTGCTGGACTCTACCACTTAAGTCCCACTCCTAGCCATTTTCTCGTTTTAGTTATTTTTCAGAAAGGGTCTTAAGCATTTTGCCTAAGAGTGTCTCAAACGCAATCCTCCTAACAACACCTCCCTTAGAGCTAGACCACTATGCCCTCACTTTTTCTTTGGGAGAGGAACTTGCTACATTTGTTACCAATGCTGGCCTGAAAATACAATCTTCCTATCTTTAGCTCCCAAAAGGCTGGAATTACAGACATTCCTCACCTTCCTTGGCTGTTTTTCTTGGCAGTCCTCGGTTTAAACTCAAGGCCTTAGCCTTGCTAATTAGGCACTCTCACTACTGAGCCACACCATCCAGCCCTGATTTTTTTGCTGATTATTTTCGAGACAGGGTCTCATTTCCACTTACATTAGAAGCCCCAGTAGCCGGGATAACAGGCTTATGCTACCATATCCAATTCTTTGTTAAGAGGAGTTTCAAGAACTTTTTTTCTGCCCAAGCTGGCCTCAAACCTGGACCCTACCGTTCATTCTGTGTCTCCCAACTAGCTAGGACTACAGGTGTGAGCCACCAGAGTGACCAGCCCAGGCCATTTTTTAATAAGTTATGTTCTTCACACATGTATTACTGTATTACACATGTATTACATGTATTACACTATATATACTCCATTCTAAAAGACTCTAAATATACCTACAAAGAAAATAACTCTAAGATCTTCACTCCTTAACTTTTTTCCCAAGGAAATCTAGATCCTCATTTTCAGATACAAAGATCTCCCTTATTAATATCCTAATGGTGGACCAAAAGTTTCAAATCTGAAACTGAATCATTTATTTCTGAACAACAAAGAAAATGCGTTCCTCTTCTTTTTTATTTCCATTTCTAATTAACATGGATCTCCTAATTGGGCAGATTCAAAACTTCTGAATCATGCTGGTACATTCTCTATCACCTCTATTATTTCTATTACTCTTTTGCCCAAGTTACTATGATAACCTATTGCTACTCCTATTACTAAGAAGCCCTATCAACAATAATTGATTTGACTATGCTTGTCAGATGGCTTACTAAGCAGAATACAAGCTTCTCAACATAACCACCAAATACCTCCTTATCATATGTGGTCTTATTTGTCTCCCCCCCCCCCCCCCCGAGCTTTATCTTCTACTATGACACAAAATAATAAAGACTAAAACCTACTGACTTTTCAGCCAGGCACTGGTGCTACTGATTTGTGGAATAGTCCACAAAGTAAATCAATTTAATATAATTCCCCTTTTTCATAGTTCACAAGATGAGGCATAGGAAGCGGAGTATATGATCAGATAAAATGAATACTCAGCCAGGCACCAGTGGCTCATGCCTGTAATCCTAGCTACTCATGAAGGTGAGATCTGAGGATTGTGGTCAAAGCTAGCCTGGGCAGGAAAGTCTGTGAGACTCTTATCGCCAATAAACCACTTTAAAACTGGAAATGGCGCTGTGGCTCAAATGGTAGAGCACTACTAGCCTTGAGCTGAAGAGCTGAGGAACAGCATTCAGGCCCAAAGTTCAAGCCCCATGACTGACAGGAAACAAAAAGTGAATACTCAAATTTAGATATTTTACTCCAAATTTTAAAATACATACTAACTAGCACATTTAACTTGGCCAATGGAAAAAGGAGCCCATACCATACACAAAAATCAATTCAACATAGATTAAAATAAAACTTCAAACTATAAAACTCCTATGATATAGGGGCTGGGAATGTGGCTTAGAGATAGATAGCTTGCCTAGCATGCATGAAGTCCTGGGTTCGATTCCCTCAGTACCACATAAGCAGAAATGCAGGAAGTAGTGCTGTGGCTCAAGTGGTAGAGTGCTAATCTTTTTTTTTTTTTCCTGCTGGTCTTGGGGCCTGGGTGCATGTCCCTCAGCTCTTCAGATCAAGGCTAGCGCTCTACCACTTGAGCACCACTTCTGGCTTTTTCTGCTTAGGTGGTCCTGAGGAATCGAACCCAGGGCTTCATGCATGCAAAGCAAGCACTCCACCACTGAGCCACCTTCCCAGCCCCAAGAGTGCTAATCTTGAGCAAAAGAAGCTCAAGGATAGTGTCCAAACCCTAAGTTCAAACCCCAGGACTGACAAAAAAAGAAAATACAGAGAAAATGTTTCTTGATAGTGGGCTTAAAAATCATTTTTTTGGATGCAATATTAAAATCACAGACCACAAGTGTAAAAGTAAGTAGGATTCCATCAAATTAAAAAGCAAACAAAACTAAGTGAAAACTTAGTAGGGTGGAGGTATGCTTGCCCAAGCAAACAGGCCAATTAATTAATTAATTAAAATAAAAGGCAATCTATAAAATTGGGGAAATAATTGTAAACTAGATACCTATAAGGGGCTAATCTATACATAAATAAATAACTTAAAAGTATAAATAATTTGACTCAAATCAGCAAAGGATCTAAATACACACTTATCAAAAGAAAATATCAGACAGCCCAGAGACATTTGAAAAGGCAGGTTCTCTAGTCATCAGAGTACTGCAAATCAAAACCTTACTGGAAATTCACTGCATACCTTTTAGGATGGGTATTAATTACCAAGAAGACAAGAAGTAACAAAAATTCTTGAAGCCAGGAAGAAAAGGAAACTATAGTATGTAAATTGGTGCAACCTCTATAAAAAATAATTTTGAAATTCCTAGAAAAAAAAATCAAACATAAAACTACCATATAACTCAGTAATTCTACTTGTGAATATATCCAACCGTTTGGAAGAGAGAATCCACTGAGATATTTCATTTCCTTGTTCAATTCAGCATTAGAAAAAAACTTAAAAACAAAAAACAAAGAAAAAACTTAAAAACAAACATTTCATGGATGAATAATAAATTGTATATTGCATTATTAGTATATTACATATTGTATTTCAGTTTTAAGAAAGGAAACAATTAGGCAGAAGATTTTAGACACATAAGCATTTATAATTGTGAAGAATTTAATGACATATAAAGTTCAGAGTACAATGACAGCATGGATATAAATATGTGATCAGAAAGATCAATGAGAGTTCCTAGAAGAAGTAAAATTTAAGCAAAAATTACACATGCAAAAAGACATAAAAGTAAGCAGATATATGGAATAAAGACATTCAGAATGCACAGAGGTCAAATATCGTACTGAACATTCATCCCCCAAAACCTTTTCTTTTTGGTAATACTGGGGCCGAAACAAAGATGGTCAGACAAGTGCCTCACCAGTTGAGCCACAGGCCCCCAGCATGAGAATCTGCTTTTATAAACACTAAAACTATCATTGAAAATGACAGACACAGCATGTACC